GCACAGAAACGAAAATGCAAGGAGAAGAAGGAAAACGAAATTACAAGGCAGAGAAGAGAAACGAAAATGCAATGTATTCTTCAAATGTAAATATTCAAGTTCCACAACTAGAGAAGACAAAAGCAAAACGAAAAATGGCAGCTGAGCAAAACGTAAATTATCAAAGAAGGAAGCCAAAACGTGAAGAAACAACTCCAGAAAAAAAAAACGTAAAACCAAACACAAATGGAGGCTACTGTTCACATAGTCACCTCAGCCCCTTCATTTAATGGCTGTCAAGTCAGCCCTACCCCAGACCTATGACCTAAAAAATGAAATTGGGCCCAAATAAAAATACAAGTCTGACCCAATAAACTACAATAAAATAAAATATAAAATGAAAATAAATGTTGAGGTGGAAAATGGTGCTGAGGTGGAAAATGACGTGGCAGCTCCACTTGAAGTCCTAAATTAATTCCAAGCTCAAATAATTATTAAACTGCCCTGAAAATAAAATTTGGAATAATTATTCAGAAAATTCAAATTAGCTAAAATATGAATTACCGGTCCAATTACAGCCCAAATAGAAAACAATGCAGAATATAAGCAATTAGGCACAAATCAAAGATTAAAATAAGTACATAAAGGTAAGAAAATAGGGGAAAATATTGACTTAAAATATGAAATAATTCTTAAAATATGTTCAGAATAAAATTAAGATAAAACTTGCGACTCAAAATGTGTAATTTCTAAATACGCTATCTTAAAAAAAACAAAAAAAACTTGTATTGAATAATACTAAATTCTAATAATGTACTATTTTAGATTTATATGTAGGTGCATGTATATTTATTTGTTTACTTGTTTTTCGTTATTGTCAATAGCTTAGAATCTTCCATTTTCTTTTAGATCATCACCTACAATTTTGTTGAAACGAATATAATCTTACGGTTGACAAAAACCCCCGTTTTAAAATAAATCAAATTAAATTTTTATATTTCAGTTTTATAAAATAAATTATTAAAAATTAAAATTATTTTTTTTAACACAATATAAATTATTTTTAGTAAATTTAAAATATAATTTATTTATTAAAATATTATTATAAACAACATAAACAACATGAATTAACTTAACCACCTAAAACAACTTTCAACTTAATCAAATCACTTATTGTAAAATGACAATCTTCACTTAAAACAACACATATGAAGTTATATTACTCCTATCAAGCTTATCCTTATCTCATATGAAAGATAAGAATATTTCCTACAACTCTCATGAAGAGATCAAGTCTTAATTCCATCATCTATCTTGTTAAAAATTTTAAATAATCGCAACATTTAGCATAAATCCTGACAGTTTGACCTTTGCTCACTAAAAATGTACGTCATACCTTTCATGAAGACCTTAAGACCAAATTTGGTCATCTACTCTCACCGCAGCAGCGCTCAAATTAGCGCTTTAGTGCTGGATTTCTACCAGCTTCCCCATGGTTGCGGCCATGAACATGCAACCAACAACACTCTCCACATTTAGCAAATCTACTCAAGATTTAAACTATCCAGCTTCCTTACCTCGAGTGGGATTTGAAAACCCGAGCTTCGACCTTCGAGCCTACGCGGAAGAAGAAGAATAGAAAAGAAGAATTCGTGCGACTCTAGTGCTCTAAGCTTTCAACTTCTCCTATTGCTCAACACCTTGGTGAATCAAAATGAGAGGAATGGGTTCAGCAACAAAGGAAACACCAAGAATGCAATGGTTTTCAGCACAATGAGTGAAGGCAAATGAATGAAGGAAAAGAGTGTGAAGAGAAAGAAAGAGTAGAAGAAATAAGGAGAAAAAAAGATTTCGGGTCTCACATACAATATAAATTAAAATGCGCAAAATTTCGGTATCGGAATTCTCATTCTTTTCTCTCTCAAATAGATATTAATAATTCATATCTTGTATCCTATGCAAGTACATTCCATATTCTACTCTAACAACTAGTCAATTTTTTTCTCAAGCATTTCGAACTACTTTCTTTAAATTTGATCTTATTTTATCTCTTTAAAGTTGATTGCATTTTTTTGTCTCTCTCTAAATTCATTTTTAATATTATTTGAGTAAATATACATATATAATAACTCACACAAGATATTGTTTATTATGTTTAATATTTTTTTTAACGTATCTCTTTATCATTAATAAATATAATAAATAATATAATAAAAAAATATACACACACAGATAAATGATGTCATAAAAATAGTTGTATAACTATCATTTTCTTGTACAACCATCATTTTTCTCAATAAAATCACACATTATCAATTTCATTATTAAAAGAAGGACAAATTGTTAGATAGTCCTAGATCTCATTTTCAAAAGGGGGTGAATTCTATATGACATATAATCAAATGGGTTAACACATTTTTTTTCCTATAGTTTTACTTTATGCTTTAGTCTCTATAATTTAAAATAAATTCTTTTAGTCTCTATACTTATCTTTTTCATTTTTTTAATCCTTATAATTTAAGATAGATTTTTAAGTTTTTACACTTCTAATTTTTTTAATTATTTTAGTCATTGACGTTAATTTTTTTTTTTGTAACATTGTCTCTTTTGTGTTGATGTGATATGGGAGTATTAATTCAATTTTGTGTGTTTGATGTCAAATTTATTTTGTTGAGATTATTCTAAATTAGATCTCTTGACGTTTCATAATCTTTTGTACTGTCACCTAGCTACGATGTCCATTGTTGAGTTACCATTTTTTTTACTTTCACAAAATTAAAGACCTCAAGAACAAGTCCCACATTGCTTGAACAATTCAAGTGTTAAGCCTTTATGTATCAAAGTGCTCCTAACACTTCCAAAGGGGCAAGCAAAGGGTGGTGGGCTCGCGCATGAGAATGGGTCTTGTGAGCCCATTATGACAGCCAATCGGCAATAGCCATAACTAAGAATAAATCTTACAATGGGAAGAATAGACATATACAATTGCTAGATCAACCATGGAGTCAGAGTTTGTAGCTCTAGAGATGACTGGTACTAAGGTTGATTGGTTGAGAAAGTTCTTGGTAAACATTCCTCTAGGAATGAAACCAACCCCATCAATATCAATACATTATGACAGCCAATCGGCAATAGCCATAACTAAGAATAAATCTTACAATGGGAAGAATAGACATATACAATTGCTAGATCAACCATGGAGTCAGAGTTTGTAGCTCTAGAGATGACTGGTACTAAGGTTGATTGGTTGAGAAAGTTCTTGGTAAACATTCCTCTAGGAATGAAACCAACCCCATCAATATCAGTACATTATGACAGCCAATCGGCAATAGCCATAACTAAGAATAAATCTTACAATGGGAAGAATAGACATATACAATTGAGGCATAATATAGTAAAGCAACTGCTGAAGGATGGGACGATTTCCATCAATTATGTGAAGTCAAAAGGAAACTTGGCAGATCCTCTAACAAAACCCCTAGGAAGAAAAATGATTTATGAAACGTCAAGAGGAATGGGATTAAAGCCAATTGAAAACAAACAAGTGATGGTAACCTAACCTTTGTGATTGGAGATCCCATGAATAAGGTTCATATGGGTAAGAACAAGTCACTTGTTAGTTTTGCTAGCACTAAATTTCTTAAATCTTTGTCCTTTCCTAAAATATGAGAAAGTGTTAGAGCTGCATTACTGAAAGGGTAAGTTTTATTGTTAAGCTTTATGATGAGAAAGCTTGACACATTATAAAACTTTTAATGATTTTCATATCCCTTATGGGTGGTGTATGATTTGCAGCATGCACTTGATAAAATCACCTATATGAGTGTCAAGTGGGGCTGTTTGCGTGAGATCTTGGCGAGATCTCTAGAGCACTCAAGAATATCGGGCACGTGCATGGCCTAGTGGCGCAAAACAACGATAACGACAAGAATTGTGAGGGTGTAATATGATTGATAAAGCCACTAATATACATCAAGTGTTTTGGTTCACATAGCTTGCTACATGAATCTCACTATATGTTAAGTATTATTAATCTAGGTCTGGTTCATATAGCTTGCTACACTAGGTCTAACATATTACAGCCAATATGAGAACTCAATTTCTTTTTCTTTATCTCTCATTCTAATGTAATCAAAATATAGTATTTTTTCTTTTGAAATATGTGGGGGTTGTTGGGCATACATATGCATAATATTTCAAAAGAACAAGTCCCACATTGCTTGAACAATTCAAGTGTTAAGCCTTTATGTATCAAAGTGCTCCTAACACTTCCAAAGGGGCAAGCAAAGGGTGGTGGGCTCGCGCATGAGAATGGGTCTTGTGAGCCCATTGTAGTTCAAATCTGTCAATTTGCCCCCCTTGCGCGTGCAAAAATGGGATTCGAAAATATTTTTATTTTTTATTACATTAAATTGTTTTAATTAATTAAGGCAAACCTTATCCGAAAATGACTGTTATATAATAATAATAATAACAATAACCTTTTTGAAAACTGAGATGTTACATCTACTATGTCAACACAAAATAAAAAAAAAATATTAAAAAAAATAACGATGTGAACCAAAAAGATTTAAAATAACATAGAAACTAAAAATATTTATCTTAAAATATAGAGACTAAAATAGATTTGAAAAGATAAGTTTACAAAGTAAAAAATTTCATTTTAAACAATACAAACTAAAAGGTAAAATTAGTGAAATTATAGAAATTAAAAAATTATATTAACCAATCAAATATTATAACCTTTTCTCAAAAAGAAAAAAAATATAATAAGAAAAAAATTATAATTTTATCCTTTCAAGTTAGCTAAATAATATAAATATATATATATATATATATATGTCACATTAATTATTGATTAGGATCATACACACTTAATTATATAATATAAAGCAGATTTAACATTGAATGAAAAATAATTAATCACTCTTTAATTTTAATTACCAAAATTAACTCACTAGGTCCATCGCCTCTATATATAGTCCCATATGCACAACCCTCTTTCCATCCAATCCCTTTCATTCAACCCAAAACATGACTACTTATGTTAATGTTATCTTTGTTTTCTTAACACTCACATTATCAATCCTTTGTTTTTGTGGTTTAGTCCTCACAGATGAGGGACTCAAAGGTGGCTTCAGTGTGGAACTCATTCACAGAAACTCTCCACAGTCACCATTCTACGACCCCACCGAAACCCCTTTTCAGCAACTTCACAATGCTTTTCACCGCTCCATTAACCGTGTGAACAATTTCTACCCCAAATCCAAAGCTTCCCAAATGACACCACTGTCTGAGATAATCGCCAACAGTGGTGCTTACCTTATGAGGTACTCGATCGGAACGCCACCGTTTGAAGTGATGGGGTTTGTTGACACGGGTAGTGACCTTGTTTGGTTACAATGCAACCCTTGCAAAGGGTGTTCCAACCAAACCACCCCATTTTTCGACCCTTCCAAATCCTCAACATACAAACCCATCTCTTGCGATTCTAAGGAGTGTAAATCATTGTTAACATTGGAGGAAAACTCGTGCCACTCCAGGAATGATACCAATTGCAGGTACGGTATCTTATACGATGATGGCTCATCTTCAAAAGGAAATCTAGCATTTGAAACACTCACGTTCAGCTCTACTACAGGTTGGGAATCCATTTCATAGAAGATTCATTTTTTTTTTTAATTTCATGTCTTAAACTAATTTGACTCAATTGAAAAGTAGATAAAATTTAATAAAAAAATTGTTTTTATTAAACTATCAAATTTGAACATTAATCAAATAATTCATTCTCAAAATTAATACATTAGTCATTTATGTTTAACTCCTAAATTATGATACATCAATTTACATATATTTTTCAAGTTAACTATTTCTGAATTTAAATTTAAGAGGAAGCAACAAATATTTTAAGGCCTGGTTAAAGAAATATAAGTAGTTATTGTAAGACATATGTAATATATACAAGTATTTATTTCTATTTATTTAATTTATTAACTTTATATAAAAAATAATTATCAATTTATCTTTATTGTTTATTATCATTAAATCATCATGGGATCAAGAAAGATATAACTCTAATTTTATGTATAGTTACCAATAAAATGAAACTTCCTCCAACGCTGAATACAAGTTAAAAAAACACTTCATTTTTTTTTGTCTTAAATATAAACAAATCTCACTCTATTCAATATTGTTATTTCTAAAATATACCTTCATTTAATTAAGGCTGTATTTTCAATATTCCTGATACCAAATTTCAAGAAATGATAGTTTAAGAAACTAAGTTATTTTTTTATGAGAATAACAAAATTAAATAATATAAACAAACTAGTAAGAATTGATTTTTTTCCTTATATGCAAGACCAGAGGGAGTAAGTAAAAATAGGTGTTCAAAAGGTGAGAGATAGAACATTTAATTCTCTTATTATTCAATTACAAGTTCAAATTGTCAAAATCTTTAATACAAAAAAATAAAAATAAAATAAAATTAATATTTTAAAAAAGATTGTAAAATACTTTATAAAAAAGACTATGGTTTTCTTCTAAATTTTATAATAATGACACAAAAGATATATTTATATAATTTTCTACTTTTACTTTGCTAATTAATGTCTTTAAGCGATTAAAAATTTTAATTATTTTTATACGACTTCGTTTATTTAATAATACCTATAAATGTTATTCTTTATTAAGGTCTATGAATTTATTTCTTTTCATTATTTTTCATTCATACCAATTAATGTATTGGTTAATAAAAATGATTTATTTTATATTTCTTTTCAGGTTCCTCTGTTGCATTTCCCAAGCTTCCCATTGGTTGTGACCAAGCTCGTAAATTTCACTCTAATATGTTTGGTGTAGTTGGGCTAGGAAAGGGTGGTAATTCCCTTATCACACAAATGGGTCCTTCAATTGATTTCAAATTCTCCTATTGCTTACCATATTTTAAATCAAAAGGCACAAGTAAATTAAATTTTGGAATAAATGCTGTGGTGGCTGGTCCTGGAACAGTTTCTACTCCATTGAAACCAGGTCCATCAGATGTTCTTTATTTCCTTCAATTGGAGGGAATGAGTGTTGGGTCCAAACGAATAGAGTTTGTAGATAATTCAACCTCATATGATGCATACGGTAACACGTTAATCGACTCAGGAACAACATTGACCTTTATGGAAGACAATTTTTACGCCAAATTGGAGCCAGAAGTGATGGCACAAATCAAACTAGAACGTGTTCAAAGCCCAGAAAAAACTTTCAGCCTTTGTTACAAGTCTCCAACAAATAATGAAACTGGGGTTCCATTTATCACAGTACATTTTGCTGGTGCGGACGTTGTGTTGAATCCTTCTAGCACTTTTATTGAAGCTAAAGATAATGTAATATGCTTTACTATTGTGCCTGTGCCACCACCCGGTAGCATCTTTGGAAACTTAGCGCAGATGAACTATTTGATTGGATATGATTTGGTGAAGAAGACTGTGTCCTTTAAGCCCACTGATTGCACCAAGATGTAATATCGTTATGTATTGCTTGTTTTTGAATTATGAGCTAAATTAACTATATTTATTGTTATGAATTGCATTGAGTGTACTTTTATAATTTTGTGTTATTTGTTATTAAGTGTCACAATTGGGCTCACAACTAGATGATGAAAAATACTAATCTTAAAATAGAGAGTCACCATTATAGTTTATGTTAAAAATAAAAATAGAAAAAGTTAATATATTATTTATCAATACAACAAAATCAACAATAAATTAAAATAAAAAGAATAAATCAAAATAATAAGAAGAATTTAGAAAAGTCTTGAATGAAATACGCATAGCACTAACTTTAAAAACAAATACTCCACTGCATTATTAAACTAACTTGACGTATTTGCCTTTTAAGGACATATCATCTTTAATAAGACTTTAGAACATAATGCATAATAAAAGTGTTTATTTGAGTTCTAATTAGTAATGTGTATTATGGTCTTATACATGTATTTTTCTTCGTTAGTGTTACTTAGAGACTTGTCAATATCTCACACTAACAATCTAATCACTACACCCTAAGTGAGCTTTTCAAAGGGTGGTTTTTGATCATCTATTGGGATAACAATTCAAATTTTCATTTTCAATTTATATATAAAATCAATATTTTATTTATGATATAGTCTAGAACTAAAAGTATTGTACTTATTTTAGGGATTTATTTTCTCTTTTAAAATTGGAATGTCAAGTCAATAGATAGAAATTCTTGAGAAAAGAATAACTATCCAACTTATAAAGGGGTTACCATCTTGATTGAGAGATGGGTTCATATGAAGAGAAGGTTTTACCAAGTTTCAATCCATAAAACATATAAGAAGGGTTTTTCCAAGTTTTGCACAAAACATGTAACAAGGTTTCTCAAGTTCCTCTAACAACTTGAAGGGAAGATTTCTCAGAAAACTTGAAGTATATTTTTTAGATAATGAACATGTTTTGGAAATAGGCATGAGGAACTGAACCATGTTAAATAAATTTTATGCGATCTTTCTTTGTTCGTTTATAATGTTTTTATTTGTTTGTTCTATCATTGTTGCATATAAAAGAGAGGGACTTTTTTGTCCTAACAGTAGTATTAGAGCTCTTTTATAGTATTGAAGTTTGATATACAATGGTTCAAAATACTAGTGGAGTGGAGGAAAAAAACACCCAAAACTTCGCAAAGAATGAGCATGATTGAAGAAGATTTTGATGAGAATTCATGAAAACAAAAGTTGAAGACAAAGTCTCGAACTTTTAATTAAGAGAGGAAATGTTAGAATAACAATACATATTTTTAAATTTCAAATATAAGATATTGTTTATATATAGAATGATATTATTTGTTATGGATGTTTTTTAGTCCATTAGTGGCTTAGTTTTTCAGATTGGATGTTGTTTTCTAAGTTGTGAAGTTGGAGTTTTCAAGTGCAAGCAAACTCATGACCTAAGGAAGTTGTTTTCGTGATGTTTTGATGTTCCATGATGAAATAGATATTGAATTCATGTTATATATGTTGTTTAAACTAGTTTTGATGATTTGCATGTGAAGGATTTAAGATGTGGTGGCTAGATTTGATGAGAAAAGATGAATCTCCATAAAGGAGATTCATTCATAAAGATTCATCTTCTTGCCCAACACAGATGGATGCTCACCTAATGTGCATCAATAACTGATGATCCCCTGCCAAAAATTTCTTTCTCACTCAATGACATGATTGTTGCATAGAAAGAAGGTGGCTTCAAGGTAGCTCTTATGAAAGCTTGCCCGACGACCATGGTATGCCCAATGAGAGAACCCACAAAAAGGGTTATACTCCCTTAGCGAGTTATAGTCACCCTGAGAGACAACCCACAAAATGTATTTTTTGCTTAGGAAGCTTTTGGCCTATAGGCAACTCATTCTACATGAGTTTGGTCATCTGATGAGCTAGAGCCCAGTCAGTGAGGAAAGCTAAAGAAGATTTTTCTTCTTGAACGAAAGTAGCTTTCTCAACAATGAACTCTAGATAGTTTTGGTCTTGCTTAGCAAGAATCCTATTTTCGTAAAACTTTTGTATTGTGCTTCTTTACATCTTTTTTGATATAGAATGTTGATGATTAAATCTTAATCTTGGAATATTGATATATGAAAATGATTTATGATAAGATTTCATAAGTTGAATATTATGTTGTTTAAGTTTAAAGTGGTTTGTTTTATGAATTTGAAGATGTAAGATGTATGATGTATGTTGTTAAGATGTGATAAAGCATGTGATGCATGTTTTTAGAGTTAAAAGTTGCATAAAAATTAGAGGAGAGAAAAATTATTTTAGAAATTAAATCCTATTATAAGGATATAAGTTATGGTACTCTAAGAGTCCAAAGTTGAGATGCTTCAGTGAGTGTAGACACCAGTTTCTGTACGGGATGAGAATCTGAAGATAGGAAGATTCTAAAGCGAGAGAAGTGACCCTCAAGGGACCTTGAAGACTTCGAAACACATCGAGATGGAGCAGGAGGCCTCTATAAGACATTCCAAGGGTCAAACAACCAAGAACCAAGCATGGAGGCATGGGAAAGACCATTTTGGTCATGAAAATGGTTGTTCCTATGATTAACCAAAATAGTTGTTCTCATGGTGAGTATGGTCGTTCCAAATTAGATTTTCCCATGTAAAATGAGGTTGAAAATGGCTGTTCCAAAGGGAGAACGGTCATTTTGCACCTTTGGCCTCTATTTAAGCATTTAATCACCCTAATTTAGGAACACACTGGATTCTCTCTTCTCCCTTGATTCTTTTCAGAAGCACTCTAAGTAAATAAACTCATTGAGAGCCTAATTAAGAGATCTCTGATCCCTTTGACAGAGATTTCAGAGTTTCTATAATGTCAGAACTCAAAAAATTCCAATCTTGCCCATAAATGGTTTTGACTTCCATTTTGAAAATCTCATTGGTTAGGGAATGCTCGGAAACTAGACTGATCCCTAATCAATAATTTTAGAAAGAGTCTGAAGAAGTTGCCACCGATGTTTTACTCAAAACATTGAAAAAAGAAAAGATTTTTGAAATTATCAAAATGGCCCCCGAAGCCAAAATTGGGTTTAGGGGTCGATTACGTGTAGGAAAGGTATTAGGCACCCTACAACGCCCTATATTGATATCCTATGATGAAATTAGCGCGATAAAGAGTAAAAGTTCAAATATTTGATCCCTTTTATTAATGGTTATTTAAATGCTTAATCTTAAACTTACACGATTTAACCTAAGATGTCTACATAGTTACTTTTATTTATGGCAATGTTTATGATAAAAAATAGGAGATGATAGAGAAGGAAATTAATGAGAATACCTCCTGAACGAGATTTTATAAAGTATGCTTCCAATATGATTGGTTTGAGGCATTTTTTGGCTGCCTTACACAATATAATTTACCTCACAAATCTCAAGAAATGCAAATGGAGGAGAAATAGAAGAAATTGAGCTATATGGGACTCGAGTAGGCAATTTTTTTCATCTTGAGCACTATACATGAAACTTATATATATAGGCATTAGACTTTACCAAAATGGGGCGTTTCGGACTAGTTTGTTATGAGCAAATTTTGAATTTGCAATGGCCTTTTCTGAAATTGAAGTTAACTCATAACAACTTAGGTCAAAATGGCTCGTTCTAGATTGGGAACGACTTGTTTTGACCCAGGGTTTCTAGGCCATTTTTGAAGTTTGGAACAACCCGTTCCAAATTGGGATTGTCCGTTCTGGGCTCCTAATTCAACCTTTTTGGGCTTTCGGGCGTTTTGATGTCATTCTGGTCCATTATGATGTCAATGGGCCCTTCTAAGGTTACGTTGGTCCGTTTGACATCAAATTTGGGCCTTTGGGAACTCTTTTATCTCTTACTAAAGGCCCATTTCCTTGTTTGCATGTCTCAGATGAAATTAGTGTCTATAGATGCCCCTCTTTACTTGTCCTTTGGATAGTTATGTGTTGCTTTTCCAAAGGTAAGTAAAGACGTAGACATTTTGTCTAGGTCTTCTCTTTTGCTTCACAGTGTAGGTGCTTCCACATTGCTTCCCTCAAATAGATGGGTTTGTTCGTATCCTTGTTCCTTGGAGTAGTTCAGTATTGGGTTGCATTCTCCATTAGAGAATAAGGATGGCAAAATGTACCCTATAAAACTTTGTACTGCTTCTGCTTGCCTTGTGATAGTGAGGTGAAAAACTTATTAGGTTTGCTATAGAGTGAGTATGTTTTGAGCTTAGCCTCTCTAATCTAGACTGATATTTAAGGCTTTAGCCATCCTTTAAGGGTTTATTGATCCAGTCTCTCTAAGTTGGACTGGTATTGAGGCTCTAGTCAACCTATGCTAAGTGTTCCTTGATCCAACCTCTCTAATCTAGACTAGTATTGAGGCTCCAAGTTGGATTGGTATTGAGGTTCCAACCAACCTATGAGTGTTTCTTGATCTAGTCTCTCCAAGCTAAACTGATATTGAGGCTCCAACTAACCTATGGTGAGTGTTCCTTGATTCAACCTCTCCAAGCTTGACTGGTATTGAGGCTCCAACGACCTATGGTGATTGTTCCTTGGTCTAGCCTCTCTAAGCTAGACAAGTATTGAGGCTCCAATCAACCTAAGTCATGATTTGAGTATTATCTCTCCAGACTTTCCCTTGTGACTTTGTCGTGTATTGGTGTTGGAAAGGAGTATTTCTTGATCTAGCCTCTCCAAGTTGGACTAGTATTGAAGCTCTAGCTTACCTTTTCCAAGTCGTGTTTGAGGAACCTGACAGTGTCCTTAACTTGTTGTTTGAAGGATGCCCTTAGGGATGACGGGAAAGAGATGCTTGATGTGCCCCTGGTTTGGGCTATCTATGCCTTATTGAGTAGTCGTAGATCAGTAAGAACTTTGTGTTGTTTCTATTTTATGAGTTTGTGATGCCTTTTATGCATCTTTACTGGGAATGGATGGCAGGGATTCTGGTATTGTTGCCACCATGTGAGTATTGCGATGCCTCTCCAGGCGTTTGTTGTGGTGTTGAGTATTATAGTGTCGACGTTTCCAAACTGCTTGTTTTGGTGATGGTGAATATTGCTGTGTCAACATCTCTAGACTGCCTTTTGTGAGTATGTAGTTTGATTGCCTCTTCTTATAGGTAGGGATGCTGATAACACTACAAGAAAAATGTAAATTTCCGACGGAAAATTTTTGACAGATATGAATCCGTCAGAAATTTCTGACGGATTTATATTTCCGTCAGAAATTTTCAACAGAAATATAAATCTGTCAATTTTTAATGTATAAATTAAGTTAATAAATTTAAAAAAAAATTAATATTTTATTTTATTAATTTAAATTAATAAATAATTATAAAATTATTTTATTATACATAAATTTATTGTAAATGAATCCTTCTTCTATATAATTATGAATAATATTATAAAAAATGTTGTATGAAAGTGTGATCTGAAAAATACATATAGTTCTAATGTAGAAAACTTTGTTCAGATCATGCAGAGGGCAGTGACGAAAGTCCGTTAGTGGAAGAACTAGCAATCCCAAGCGTGGAAGAGCTTTCAAAAACCGGCGTCGTATTTCGGCCCACCAAGGGCGGCATAAACGCCGTCAGGTTTGACAAATCCTCCGCAACGCTCCACCTGCCCGTGATCCACGTGACCGACAGCAGCGA